GGGATTCCTACCATTCAGCAGTCTCAGTTCCCAATCCGTGTCACTGATCTTTCTCATTCTCCCCCCACCCCACCCCTCCTGCCTCATACGACGTTGTATTCTCTGGATTCCAAGTTACCGACTTATCGGCCAAATAATAGGTCACATGACGATTTAGTGGTATTCTCGAGCAGAATCATTCTCGGCTCAAACTCAAAACCGTAATACAGGCGTTTTTGAGGTCACCATGGAGGTCGCGGCCCGTAATTATACGCCTTTGAGGCACTTTGGATACAGGCCACCAATCCAAAAGTGGACTTTAGAGAAGATGCCTCACAGTTGCGCAGGAAGTGAAGTCTTATTCGAAGTTCGCCTTTTCGTAGTGATTTCGATGGATATCAAGCCTAACTGTCACTGTCCCACCAACGGCTCCGCTACCGTGTAGAGAATCCACGAAGTTGCGGTGAGTGAATCTTTTTCAAATTACTGCGTGCACTGGGAGGTCTGAAGACGTTTGATCAGATATTCACCAACTGTTCTGATCCATTGGGGCTCTTAAGTAAGCGATGCCGCCGACGTTACTAATGAATTTTCAATAAGAACTTTATGAGGGTTCATGACACAAACTACACTGAATATAACCCTGCCGAGGTTTATGGAGACCTATACGACGAGATTCAGAATTACTACTAGCAGATTCCTAGCCTCGGGTAACTTCAAGCTACCTTATCCTCTCGTGGACTTCATTTAAGTAATTCTCTGTTTTCGCATCGTTCTTCAAGTACATATGGTCTTATCCTGGACTAGAACAAAGCCCTAAAGTCGAGAGAACTAAGCACGCAGCCAAACGTCGTGTGTGAAAGTTTTGAAAATGGGGAAACCCCTACTGGAAATGTGTCCACCCGCTCATACTCTCGGAATCCCACATTTGAGGATGAGCTTATCACAACTTAGGGAACGAGTTGTGCAGTGGAATAACTGAAGTTCTTGAAAAAGGACACTTACCCCTTCAAAGCTGCACAGTAAGCGAGAGCGATTCCCATGTTGCCACTGGTGGGCTCAATGAGAACCGTCTTCCCAGGTACGATCTTTCCTTCAGCTTCTGCTTTCTCGATCATGTTAAAAGCAATGCGATCTTTCACGGATCCAGCGGGATTCATATACTCTAACTTGACAGCTGAAAAGCAATCATTAGCCTTAGACTAACATTAGCCCTTTGTTGCAGCCTCGAAGAGTAACACTTGGGAACTGAAATCATGAAAACAAGTTTCGGGTCCAATCTCAGGAAATCATGGTCTGTGAAGAGCCCTTTCAAAATCAGCTTCTTGTGGTCAACTCACCAATAGTGGCTTCCAGTCCTTTGGTAATGTGATTCAGTCGTAGTAACGGAGTGTTGCCGATAGCATCACTGCCGCAGAGGAGCATAGTATCACGAGACATTTCCTAGAAGGTTTCCTGCCCTTCCAGCCAACTTTGTGTAGAGTTATTCAAGCGATTATGGTAAGAACAGAGTTTGTAAGGTCGAACTATGACCTTACTATATATTACTATCAAATGGAAAGAGCTCGACTGAGGAAGCGAAGCCGAAACAATTTCCCAAACGAAATATTCAACAAAAGGTCAGTTTTTGCAGTGCCTCGCTAAGANAAGAGCTTTCAGTTAAGGGTTTGGATCAGTATTTAGATTATTTACCATAACTTATAGTAGGAACAAACAAACAAAGATGTGGGTGATACTCAGAAGGAAAGCGATAGTCTTGCCCACTTTATCTGATTAAGCGGAAAAACTTCAGTTAAAGATGATTGATAAACTACAATGGAACTCCGTCTCAAGGGAAATTTCGAACTAATGGGTTCATCGAATCCGAGCAAGCCTTAATCACTGTTGTTAGAGGATTTGAAATCGGATTAATTATTTAAATGAACATACAAAAACTATTAGCAACTATTAGCATATCGTTGGTCTTACTCAGTAACAACATCCAATAACATAAAAAAACCAACCCNAGTCTTGCCCACTTTATCTGATTAAGCGGAAAAACTTCAGTTAAAGATGATTGATAAACTACAATGGAACTCCGTCTCAAGGGAAATTTGTGGACTAATGGGTTTATCGAATCCGAGCAAGCCTTAATCACTGTTGTTAGAGGATTTGAAATCGGATTAATTATTTAAATGAACATACAAAATGCAACAACTATTAGCATATCGTTGGTCATACTCAGTAACAACATCCAATAACATGAAAAAACCAACCCGCCTCTATCGAGCAATTAGTTGTAGACCTGTTGGAGAGAATAAAAGAACTAATGCAAACAGCAGCCAGTCGAGAAAGTCGTTTCTGTGAATTATTATGCACTACTTTGTATACCATCCTCTTAAATACTGAGAACTAAAATGCAAAAGGAAGACAAAGAGGTGAAGAGTAGTGGAAAGGGAAAGTGTTTCTGAAATTCATCCATTACATGCACCACCCATGGCATTCAAACTTACAGTGAATCTTCACCATTTTCGAGAGGTCAATAGGTTTCGAGTGCATCGACGTCTTAGGTGAAGATTGCAGACGCATCTTATTCTGCCCAGTCTGCAGACCCTCTTGTTCTGCAGACTGGACAGAATAAATCAGGATTTTCTATCATTTAAATGTCATGAAATCTTGAGGGATGATAAAAGTCCACTGGCTCAACAGATGGAATCGATCGAATAAATATGCTATCCTGGATGGGACTTACCAACGAAAACTGTACACGATTGGCAATTCTGTTGAGTTTTCATGACCCATTCCTATACATAGCGTCAAGCACCTGGTTAGAGCATTGACCAGTATGGTATTGAATTCACTAAAGGGAATGGAACAGGATTTTCAGTGTATGGAGATAACTGAGAGCTGCTATGATATTGCGACCCCGGATGGAATCTTTCGTGGTTCGAGCGTCCTTCTCGCAGTAGCACGCAAGAAATCTCACAAGAACACAACATAGGCTGTGATTCTGATTTTTTTTGCGTGCATAACCTTTCGAATATTATTCCTGATCAAAGTAACAAATCAAACTACCAACGGCTCAGGTTTCAAGACGTCGGTGGACCAGCAAGGAGTGACGTATTTGTAAGAAGTTGACGAAAAGGTAGTACACAGTGATTACGGAAATCCGAACTTCACAAGCATGCTTCCAGTGTGTAGGTCTCTCGGTAAAGGAGTCAACATGGCAAAAAAAGAGGTCATGTAACAGAACAAAGCGTAGCATAAAGGGCTCGTGATAAAGGAAGACTGGGGATTCAATCTACATAAAGGACTCTTTCCCTTTCCTTTATTCTTTGAAACTGATCATTTGAGATGATGGAATGACTCCAGTTCGAGCAGA